GTATCTGAGCTTTCTTAACGCTTTCTACAATCATTGAGACAACATCGATTCTTAATGCTCTTGGCCTTTTATTTTCAAGGCTCACTTTTCTGCTTAAAGTATTCGCTACAACATTTGCTTTAGCAGCATGGTAAAGTAATAAGTCTATTATAAACTTCACTTGTATATCAGGGGGCAATCCAGGAAGATTTTTTTGAAAAACTTCCGGATAGTCACGCACCACTGGTATGTTGTGCATTTCCTTCTCCTCCTTCTTAACATTGATCACGAATGCCAAGAATGAGCTGCATCCTTTAGACACACATTTGATGGCCTTCATCATGGAAATGATTCTAGAATTCACTCTGCGTATGTCTCCATACACCATAAATGAGTCTTTTCCAGGCGTGTTTACCCTCACTATCTTTTTCTTACACAATATTTTGGAATCATTGCCTCTAAGCCAATCGATCCCCATAATGATGTCGAAACCATTCAACTCAATGAGTAACAACTCCACATGGAATTCGTTTCCATTTAAGTCGATGACAATGTTCTTAATACAATTGCTAACAGGTATGAATTTGCCAAGCAACTTCTAAAATTAAGGCATCATCAAGTTTTTCTATAGGCAATGCTAGTCTTTCACTAAATTTATGTGATATAAAGGAGTAATTTGCTAAGGAATCAAACGATAAATTAGCACGCAAACCATTTACAATAAAGGAACCTGAAGTGACATCTGATGCATCCTTTTCGGCTTCTAATGTGATCTGGAAAGCTCTGGCATTTGGCTTTGGTGGGAGATTGGGCCTTGCTGCCTCTTTCTTTTTTGGTAAATCCTTTTTGATTTATCTAGTAGAGTGATGGATGTAATGGATTAAGTCCTTAATGGTTTAAGTAAGAAACACTTAACCCTATTCATCATTTTATGTGAAAACCCTAATTTTTCTTGGGCCTTGAGTTGGGCCCTTCTATTGGGCTCTGGTGATTGAGCTATTGATGGGAAATCCAAGAACAAGTATATGGACTAGAATATTTGGATCAGGCTTTAGGATAAAGCCCATTGGAAAGGCTTGATCCCAATTTGGAAAATTAAGGCATAGGTGGGCCATAATTGAGCCTTTATGATTATGAGATATTGGACCATAGGAATGACAAGTGTTTGGACTAGAATAAATGGTTAGGCCTTAATGTAAGACCATGTGAGGGGTTTGGACCCAATTTGGAAAATTGGGCCATATGTTGGGCTTTGGTCCATTGTTTATTTTTTGGGCCTTTGGAGTGTGAGCTTGGGCCTTGGGCTTGATTCAAGCTAGGTTATGGGTAAAGTAGTCTTTACCCCAAGCATGGACTTATGATTATGTGTTGGAACCCAATTATTAATTGGGTATTGTTATGATTTTGAAAGTTCGGGAATCTGTCATCCAACAGCTAGAGTTTATCCGCAGGGCTTCAGCAGTTTGAGGTGAGTTGTCCTCACTATACTAACAAGGTTGGAGGCACCAATGTTGGCCCTTTTCGGATTTGTATCCAGGTTTATTGCATGTTGGTATGTTAGTGATCTGTCAGGTCGGTATCCTGGTATATAGGATGATGATATGCAAGTGATCTGTTAGGTCGGTATCCTGGTATATAGGCTGATGCTATGTTAGTGACTTGTTAGGCAAGTATCCTAATATATAGGATGATGCTATCATTATTGATGTAACGTCCCAAAGATCACGACTAAAATTTTCTTTTAAAACATTACTAAAACCATATTCATAAAAACCGTATCATAAATCATAACATAATTTCGTAGCATTAATTCGAAATACAAACTTATTATCAGAGTAAAACATCCCAGGCTAGCTGACTATGGTGTGTGCACTACAATCTTCCCGAGCTCCTCCTTTGAAAACTGAGTACCTGAAACCAAAAACTGAAACTGTAAGCACGAAACATAGTGAGCTCCCCCAAACTACCCCATACCATACAATAACATATAAAGCACATATTGGCCTTGCCCACTACATCGGACCGAGGTCCGGACTAACTGGGACCTTGTCCCCTGCATCGGATCGATGTCCGGACTAACTGGGGTCTTGCCCCCTGCATCGGACCGAAGTCCGGAAACTGACTAGGACCTTGTCCCCTGCATCGGACCAAAGTTCAGACTAACTGGGACCTTGCCCCCTGAATCGGACCGAAGTTTGGAAACTGACTGGGACCTTGTCCCTTGCATCGGATCGAAGTCCGGACTAACTGACTTAACATAGCATAACATAACATATCAACTAGCATAAACACATATACTGCATACTGCATCGGGCCGTAGCCCGGAACACATAACACATAACACATAGCACATAAATCCTGTCTGATCCACGAAGGCATCAAACATACTAACTACTGCATCGGACCGAAGTCCGGAAACTACTGCTAACTGAACGGGCCGGCATTGTGGCCTTAGACCCGTTCCTACAGGATGGAAACTCACCTGAACTGCTGAATTCTGCTGGTAACCCTCGAACTGCTAACCAACCACCTTCTGAAACGCTACTCCTCTAACTCTCTGAGCTACCAATAACAAAGCGACACTTAGCTTCACAGACCTCTAAAAGTCAACTACCTCAACTCTGATCAAAGTCAAAGTCCTGGCCCAAGTCAACCTTCTATGTTGACCCTACTCGTCAAGTCAGCCTACTGACTCGCCGAGTTCACTGATTTCCGAGTTCTGTCATGTCCAACTCACTGAGTCCCCACTCAACTCACTAAATTGAGCCTTGACTCGAATGGGTTTGGGGTTTCGCGACTTGACTCGCCGAGTCCAAGGCAATCTTCATCAGACTCGCCGAGTTGTTCATCCAACTCGTCGAGTTAGCCTCCATCTTCATACAACTCGCCGAATCCACTCAAAGGACTCGCCGAGTCCATTCAGTCCTTAATCCATGCAGTGGCTTTTCGAGCCAAACAGGGCTTCCAACTCATAGATCCATACTTCTAAGGCCTATCCCTCACGTAAAGTGGCAAACTTTACGTGTAGAACAAGAGATCTAAGCTTAAAACAATCCAAACTAGGGTTTAAGACAAAGTGGCTTCACTATCCACCCAAAAACAGATGCTTTATGACTTTCCAGGCCAAGATACACTCAGATCTGAAGTAGCAACTTCAGATCTGGGCTTCTAACTCAAAATAGTTCTTAAGCATGGCATAAAAGCTTCTAATCTCATAGCCAAGGTTGATCTGTTAAACCAAAAGAGGGAAGGTAACGATTTATTACCTTAAATGCTCAGAAATTCTCCACCAACTCTAGATCCAAGGCCCCCTTCTTGCTCCACAATGACTATCCTTTCTCTCAACCTCCAAAAAGCTTCACTAAGGGTTAGATCTTGCTCCAAAACGATTATAGCGGCTAGGGTTTATTGTTCTGAGTGAAAGAGGCACTAAAGGAGCCTTAGGGAAGAGAATGAGGCATTTAAATAAGCTCCAAGTCCTGGATTTAGGGTTTTCCTTGCCCAGACCAGACTCGCCGAGTCACCTTGGCCGACTCGCCGAGTCGGTCGCTTACTCCTCGACCCGGACCCTGCTCGGGCTCGCCGAGTCCCTCCTTGGACTCGCCCAGTCTCTCTTTAAAATTGGGGTTTTCTTTCTTTTCTTGGCTTTTCCAACTTTTGGTGTTAAAACTCTCCCCCACTTAAACTAAACTTCATCCTCGAAGTTCGCTACAATTCACTGACTGCGATCTGCCTCCAATACCCCACCGTTCATTCTAACACCAGCTACCTACCTTCGCTGACCACCCGCTCAGTCATTCATATCAATGCCAAACCTTACAGAAAACAATCTCGGGTCAATCCTGACCCTGAACATTCTGGAAACGCAACTCACTCAACCGAGAATCCGTCTGATAATCTCAAAATACTGCACTGACCCCGTAGGGGTTCACCCCTTCTTTCCTTGCACCATTTCCTTGCCTTCCCAAGGCGATGCTGCATAACCACCTATCTACTCTGCCACTGCGAAGACCCTGTCTCCACCAAGGGTGTAGCCCGTGGCATCACAAGGAAAGACCATGGGGGTAACCCGTGGCAAGATGTGAGACTATGAATTAGCCCATATCATTCACTCAGTGTTAGAGTAGACCTGTTACTTCATGCATGTTTGTTTGGTATGATTATGTGGATAGGAGATCGGACTATTCGGCGCGAGATTTGTGTATCATGGAATATGTGATATATTGGGGAACTCATTAAGCTTTATGCTTACAATTGTAGATTAAATATTTTTGTACTTAAAGATGTTCTTTTTTGTGTTTTGTAGGAATATCACTATAAAGTTTGAATTTGGGTTTTATGCTTTTATGATATTTTTTGAGCTTGGATATTTGAAAATCGCAAATTAGTACAAGTGAGATATACAATTTGTGGACGTAAATGTAGAAGTAAAATTAAGAGAAAAATACATGGTTGTTCTGTGTGGTTTATATTTACTTACACGATTTGTCCCTAGAAAGATCTTTTTAAATCGGACCATTCCCAAAACATTAACTTGTTACCCTCCTAGTCCTTCTTTTAAATATATCGTTTATTTGCTTGGTAGTAACCCCCATGTGAGTAACACGGTGGGGGAATTTTTGTCCTTTCATATATACAACGTATCAGCGCCATTTACAAGTTGAATGGTTTTGAAAATCCGATCATCCTCAAACCCAAACAAACACAAAAACACACTAGCCAGAGGAAACCCGTTACATTTCTAAAACAAAAAACCCTAATTGATTGCTAATCCTTTTTATGCTTTTTTGAATAATCAACAATGATGGTTTGGAAATTACAAGCAGCATAGAGTCCACTCATTATTGAAGTAGAAGTTAGTCTTCAATATTGTAAGATTACACCAAATGACCATTGATCCATTTTTGTTTGCATTTGCTAGGAAGTGTGAAACCTTACAACCTTAATCAACTGTTAATCTTTTTTTTTTTTTTTTTGTTTTTTTTTTTTTTTGCATTTCCTGAATAGCTGAGCATCCGACTATGTTTTGCATGTTATTATACCATGGTGGAAAATTTACTTATTTTCCTAGAAGAAAGTATGTAAACGGAAAGAGACATTATGTCGAGTTACTAGATATAGAGTCTTTCTGGGTTCACGATATTGATGATATGATGGTGAAACTTGGGCATATCAATGAATGCCTACCTATAGAGATGTACTATCATTCTCAAAGGCCACCTTGTGATGTGAATTTTAGCTTGTTCACTTTAGCTTCTGATGATGATGTAAGGAATTTAGCAAAATATGTTGGTCAACATAAGCTAATAGAGGTGTCTACAGAGCATGGGAAAACAAAATTACATACAAACTCAATGCCCCCAACCTATGTAAGGTACAAATAGTTATGTTGAAAATACCCCAAAAATATTGTTTTTGCAATGACATGATACATAGGCAAGCGCATCAATACCTGATATATGTGTTCCTGATACACAAGAGATTGTAGTTTTTGCTGATCCTCTAGTTTAGCCTAATAGAAACATCCCTCCTATTTTATCTAGACGAAATGAGCCTTCAGTTGACAGTAGGACATGGATACTGATAATGCGTTTGACATGGAAACTAAAAATGAACATGGTAGTGATGAGAGAAACATTATTGATGATAGTGATAGTGAAGATGGTGAATTTCTTGTAGCTAAAGATAATATCATTAATTAAGCTAAAATTGACGTTAGAGAATTCCAATTGAATGTTGATCAATATGTTGAGTAGATTAGAGGTGCTTTTAAAATCAATGATCATGTAGTTAGAGATGATGGGAATAAGTAAGACGTTGAAGTTATAGACAATGAACTTTTCTTTTCTAAGTCGTCATCATATAATGGGAAAAAAGGTGAAAGAAAAAAAAATAAAGCTATTAGAAAGGCACATGAGAATGAGAATGCCCAAGTCAACGAGGCTATCTATATATTTCAAAAAAGTTATTCGTCAAAGGAATTTGAGGATAGAGTTAACCATGTTATAGTTTTACCATTCTTATATATATATATATATATATATATATATATATATATATATATATATATAATTTGACAAAGGGAGCACATTGTGATTTTTTGTGAGATAACATCTGTGAGTCATTCAATAAAAAATTATTAGAAGGGTGTGATGCACCAATATCAATTGCTTAGAGTTCATCAGAGTACATAATGAAGAAGATTGTGAATGTTGATAAACAATTGGCAAAGCAACATGACCTCTGACTCTAGCAGCTACCAAGATATTGCAAAAGATCAAGGATGAGGCAGAAGATTATATAAAAAGATTATGTGGAAATTCGAATGTAACACCCCGTTTATTAAATAAATAAATAAACAAGTTAATGAATGAATAGTAGCCCAAAAGTAAATAATTATAAAACAAGGGTTGGTCTCAAGGAGTCATCTATCACAGTTTTAGAAGTTGGGGGATAAAAGTGTAAAATCTGGGATTTACTTTGTAGAAATTTTTTGAAGACGAGGGGTGTTTGGTATCATTTGGACCTAATATGAAACGATTTATAGAACCAAGGGATAAATGGTAAATTGTGAGCCTAAATTGAAAGGGATTTCCAAAGGGAGGGGCTGCTTGTTAAAATTCAGAATTAATTTGTAAAGGATTACAGGAGTCAAGGTTGAAATGGTAAATTATGGACTTCTTTTGGAAATATTTTATAAGGGAGGGACCATTCCTATCATTATGGGGTAATGTTTCTTATGACCGGGTATATAAACCCGTCACCTTCCCAAACCATAACCCTAGCCACTCTATACTGCAACCGCCACTTTCACCATTCTCGCTTTAGTCGCAGCCGCTGATTACGTTGCCACCATGGGCCATCGGACGTCCATCCTTCTTCTCCTTCTTCAATTTCCAATGTAGCCTCCTCACCTATTGAATCGGAGTGTCCGTCGTTAACCACCGAGAAGCCTCTGTCGTTCCACAGTTGTCGTCCTCCGAGCTGTTGTCTCGCCCATGCTGCCTCAGCGGCTGGTCCTTTTCGATGACGCCACTATCACCACTACTAGTCGCTGCTATTACCGCCTTTAGCCACTGATTGCCACTAATGTTGTTGTTGCCGCTATGCTACCCTATTCTGCAACCACTAGACACTGTGAAAGGTGGATGTGTGCATTTTGTGGTGTTAGTGTTCGTGTGTTGTGATGGTATAAGATTGCAGAAGCATCTTTTGGCCGGAGATCTGAAGAAAACCTCACCGCCACCACCGTAAGATGGTGGCTGCCATCGCAAAACCATCCCTGTCGTTGTCGTGAGCCGCCATGTAGAGGTTTGGGTCCAATTTGGAAAATTAGGCCGTCTGTTGGACTTTTGGGCCTTTGGATTGGGTCTTGAGTTTGAATCAAGCTAAGATGGGGGTAAAGTAGTCTTTTAACCCATGCATGCACTTATGGATATATGTTGGAACCCAACTACTGATTGTGTGTTATTTTATTGATCGACAGTTCGAGAATCCGTCATCCAGCAGCTAGGGTTTTTTTGTGGGACTTCAGCAGTGCGAGTTGAGTTACCATCCAGTGGAAGTGAGTCTAAGGTTACAATGTCGATCCACTGGTAGGAGTTTTTTTGTTAGATGATTGTCTTTGTGATAATCGTGTCGTATGCCACTATCTGTTATGTTTTATGTGCTAGTATGGTATAACGTTATGCGATAGTGGTAGTAGGGGGAATAGTCCCCATATCAAGTCAAATGGACCAAAGGGTAAGGTTTGGCACCCCGGTATGCCTGACATTATGTTTATGTTATGTTACGTCGTTATGTGGTAGTGGTAGTGGGTGAAATAGTCCCTATAACCATTTGAGATACACTAAAGGGTAGTTCGGGAACCTAGATATTCCTGACATGGGGTAGCTCGGGCACCCCGGTATGCCTGATAGTGGGGTAGGTTGAGCACCCCGGGATGCTCAGAAGGGTAGGTCGAGCACTAGGTTATGCTTGATAGGGTGGGTTAGGCACCTAGATATGCTTGACAGGGTAGGTCGGGCAACTAGATATGCCAGGCAATACATGATTTGTATCGCATACGGTATGATGGGGGAACTCACTAAGCTTCATGCTTACGGTTTTTAGTTTTGGCTTCAGGTACTTCGTTTTCAAAGGAAAGGAGTTGGCTCGATCGCAGTGCATCACACTATGTTTTCCACACATGAAATCATTGGGATTGTACTATGATATTGTTTTATGATAACATGTTTTGATTAATGACACTTTGGTTCTGACATGGGAAGTTTTTACGGATGTTTTTAGACCGTTGTTTTTTTGAATTATTAAACTACAAATAAAATTTTTGGTCTTAAATTTTGGGATGGTATCAGAGAATTAGTTAGAGGGATTTAGGCACACTCTCTGGTGTTTCTTGACTTAAACGGAGGACTTCGTATGAAAATTTCCAAAAGAAAATCATTTTTATAAAAAGAATTTGAAAAGGGATTTGAAAAGGGAATAGAACTTTGAAATGAACAATGTATGCGATGCGTGCAATCAGCCGAGCTCAAGTAAGTTTTTCCCAAGATACACATACATGTTATGTTCTTATATGATATGATTATGCGAACTGCATGCTAAATCAGGGCTAAGGATCTTGGAATGATGCCTTATATGCCTATTGTATGTCCTTGTAGACTTGCATCCTAGTACTGATCAGTTACTGATAGGATAGTCTGTTTAGGTTATGCCTGATTGTATGAGCCTTTGAATCTCATGTCAGTATAGATTCCAGAAAAAAGGATAGAATTATTTAATTGGAATATGTTGGTTAGATTTTCCATTGTTTGAATACTGCTTGCTTTGTGATTTGTAGGACTCTTAGTAATGTGAGCTAGCTATTAAGTCGATATGCTAAGTCACATGCGGCACATGCTGGATAATTTTAGAGTGATAGGTTTGACCCTATTGCGTAGATCCTGTCTAATTCCAACCGTTATATGATTGATTCTTTTACTCGAAGGATTATCTTATCTTTGTTGCATGTGTCTATATTCACGAGGTAGCTAGTTGACATTACAGGGAATCTTTCAGCAGCTGAGGACTGGGTGGGTTTGGGAACCTAAGGAACCCTAGGAAATGATTTAGTAGACTTGGTTGCGATGCTAGCGAGCATTTGGGGTATGAGTTTGAGAAGGTGACTTGGGGGATTCGGAATGATTCTTGAGGAAATTATTGATAGGTGTCGAAGGTAGTATTAGGCTCGTACTAGTGAAAGCATAGGATCCATACTTGAATCAGGGAAAGTCCTGGAGAATCGAATAAGCCTGTAGGATAACGATTCTTGGGTATATTTAGATCACTTGAATGTCAGTCAGTATAGTGTTGAGTACTCAAGAATAGGACTCGGATTCTGGTTCTAGCTTTGGAGCTGGACATGGACCAATCAATGTGTGAGTGCAGAAGTTCATCTTAGTGGAGATTACTTGCAGAGTTTTGGAATGGACCTCGATGGTTTTTCATTCAATCAAGGAAGGGATTTAGGGAGCTCTCGGAAGTCGTCTCGGGTCCTTTTGGGCCAGAATTATCACGAGATGGTTAGGGGCTCATCTGAAGCCCAAAATCTATGAATCCTTAGAATATTTCAGGAAGCAGGATTATATAGTTAATTCCTATCATCAAGAACGGAATGGATTTTTTCACCATGATCTTAGGAGGGTTGAAGTATCTCTAGAGAACGTGATCAAGACTCCTCAAGATGTTTCGGGTGTGTCATCTTCTACTACTACTAGCTGGATATCGGGAATTTGTATCGCTTTGGAATTGTGACTGAGTTTGGATAAGTCAGATCTAGGGTCAGTTCCTTGCTATCGTTTGGGTTATCAAGGGTAGTCATATGCCATTCTACATGCTGAGAAATATTTGAGGAACCTAAAGATGGACGTATCTTGGAGAGTGGGTTCCGCGTGTACCGTTATCATTTCGGATCCTTGTTGGGATCTGTGAAGGAGTATTATTTAGAGGATATTTGGTCAGGGTTAGAGCAATAGTTATCTAGTGAAGTCAAAGTTCAGTGGTTCTAGCATTGTTCGGGTATGGTCGAAAACTGCTTATGGAAAAAACTTTGGAGTTCAAGGCGCCACCATTGCTAGGAAAGGACTGGTAGCATGAAGATGGTGGTGTTACTTGCACGCATTCGATGCATGGGTGTTCAATGATTGGATGTTCAAGAGAATTGCATTTCTCGCATGGGTTGTGTTCAGTTAGAGTTTAGTGGCGATGCGAGATTGGAATTGGGAACGAGGATTCGTCAGCCATAGTGAAGATTAACACCTCCAGGTTTTCAGCACGGAAGGCAAAATGAGGTGTCAGATTGGACAAGATTTCAAGATCTCTCTTTAAGATTCCATAAGATAGA